TTATTCACAGAATAAAGGATACCCTAGGGGTTCGTAAGAGTCTAATTTTAAATAAAAGGCTTCTATGACATTGGTTGTCATTATGGGAACTCAAGAATGAGAGTACATATTTATAATGACCCACAAATTAGCCTTTAATATGGCATCTTCATAAAACCACACAACCACACAGGGAAAATAAAAATAAAATTTATTGCTGATTGCTAATGAGATGGGGTGGTGGGTGAGAAAGCTTGGCATTTTTCTTCAAACAGAAATATTAATCTCTATACAAATCTATGAGAATGTTGATCCATAGAAATAGTAATTTGTTTATTAGCTATATTTTAGCAAGCAGGAAGATAAGTGTTGTTGTACCTTTTATACAAAGTTTATATAAAGGCAAGGTAAGGAAAATCAGGCCTAGATTAGGTAAGAGTGAACATGTTTTTTCACTGAGGAATTCAGGTGAATTGTATATTTGCTTTTTTTTTTCAGCTGTAAAGTGTGGTCATTCAAAAGCATATTAGAATTATAATAAAAGTCTGGGGCACACTCCCAGTCCAATTACAAATCATTGCTGTTGGCAGTTAGCATTACAACCACACAGCTCTGAAGGATTAATGGTTTCTGATATCAAAACAAAAGCTGGGGAAAACAGACACATAAATCACACAGGTCAGAACATTATGAACTGTGTACCCGGTGTAGTGTAAAGAGAAGATTGCTTCACACAGCTGCAGGAGCCAGCCTCCACAGAAATGCCCATCAAATACAACTGGTGGAGATACCATCTCATATGGTCCAATCAGTCAACAGCCAGGTGACACCACATTTATTGGTGCTTTCTGAAATCAACTCACAAATAGTATTTATGGGATTTTTGCCCTCTTTTCTAAATACTGCTGTTTTAGAACCTAAGGTAGGATATTCAAAAATAAGGTAAATCCAAGAACATACAGTTCTTTCAGGACATAGAGGATCAGAATTAAATAAGCTTATTGCCTTGGAGATGACATATTTTCACATCCTTCCAAATAATTGCATCCTTTATATTCATAAAAACCCCACCATTTCCTTTGTTACTACTATCAGGACATAGCAAGCATGTTGTCAATATACTGCTATTTAGATCTGCGTGTATGCATAGCACACATTATGTTCTGCACCCTGTGCTAGCTACTGGGGAGGTAAAAGGAATCAAATGAGATCTGCACATTAGAAGATGACAAGGTGAATTACTAAAGTGGGAAGAAATAAATAAAACTGATACATGTGGCAAGGAGCATGTAGAGCATTTAAGATAAGCTGTATCCCGAGGAACAGTGTGTCAAGCAAACAAGAGGGGAGAGAATTGAGAAGGGTACCCACAGCAGGCTAAGGCTTGGAAGGAAAAACTGGAAAAAGAGAACAAGGAACTGAGGCTAATTAACATGTGCACTTGGCCAAAGGCCTGCCAGTCTGTAACTCCTGGGAGGGCAGTGGTGAGCAGTAAGACTGAAACAGTAAGAAGAGATCCAAGAAGTGCATGTATATGTCACGGACTTAATGTGAGTTTTGACCTCTGTATTTTCCAATCTACACTGAGTTGATCAGAAAGTCAACTTTTAAAGGGAATGTTTGTCCAGATTTTTACTGCGTTCCTAGAAGTCTCATTCTGGTGCCAATACAGAAAATGGATTTGGATTTTACACAAATGGAACCAACGGCAGGAACCATTGCCAGAATATGCAAGCCTTGACAAGGCTGGAAATGACAGCTATAAATCCATAGTCTATAAGTTTTAGCCATTTCCATTTATTTTCTTAGCTCGATACAAGGCAAGGGTTGTTCTTTTTAACTGAACAACAGGTATGCCATGCTGAGGACACCTGGTCTCAATTATTCAAGATTCTACCACTCTACATTACCTCCCTCTGCTTTCGTTTCTCTGGATCCTACACATGTAAGAGACTGATTCTTCTACTGAATGAGGCCAAAGGACAACCAAGGAGAGGATAATTTTAAGGCACAGTTACAGGCTGAAAGGTTCATCCTTGGTAATTGAATAATGGAAAAGGAGAGTGATTTTGCTTTTTTATGCATAGCAATTCGTTCAACTAACACTCAAATGGAAGTATATTTTATATATTTCTTAAAGGACATTTTATGTTTAATTTACATGTAGAAGAATTGAAGAGGAGAAGAGGAGGGGGGAGGAGAACATGAAGGATCAGGAAGATTGAGTTGGGGGGTAAAAATAGATGAGCACAAGAAAAGAGATGCCTTAATAAAGGAAGCCAGTATAGGTTTAAAGAGAAATTTGATACTAGGGAAATGTCCAGAGATCCACAAGGATAACCCCAAATAAGACTCTAAGCAATAGTAGAGAGGCTATCTTAAATGCCCTTCCCCCATAATGAGACTGATGATTACTTCATCAGTAATCTAGATGATTACTGATGAAGTAATCAGTAATCATCTAGATTACTGATGAAGTAATCTAGATCCTTTATACAGTAGCTGATGGAAGCAGAAGCAGAGATCCACAGCTAAGCACTGAGTCAAACTCCTGGAATCCAGTTTCAGAGAACGAGAGAAGTGACTAACAAAGGCGTCAAGACTATGCTGAGGAAACCCAGAGAAACAGCTGACCTGAACAAGGGGGAGCTCATGGGCCCCACACTGACAGCTGGGGAACCAACATAGAACCGAACCAGGTCCCCTGAATGTGGATATCAGTTAGGAGGTATGGTCTATGGAGTCTATGGAGCCTTTGGCAGTGGGTCAGTATTTATCTCTAGTATATGAATGGACTTTAGGAGCCCATTCCCCGTGGAGGGATACTCTCTCAGCCTAGACACATGGGGGAGGGCCTAGGTTCTGCCCCAAATGACTTTACAGATTTTGATGATCCCTCATGGAAGGCCTTACCCTCCCTGGGGTATGATGGGGGGGCCAGTGGGGGTCAATGGAAGGATGGGAGGGAACTGGAATATGTAAAATAAGATTGTTTCTAATTAAATATATATACGAATTTTGCCCATAAGTATGTGTTCAAAATGCATTCAGTGCTTACAGAGGCCAGGCACAAACACACACACACACACACACACACACACACACACACACACACACACACGATATATGTATGTATGTATGTAATTATGTATATCCACAGACAATTAGTCGTGAGCAGCACATTAAAAATCATCGATTGTGTGAATGTTTTTGTCCCTTCCTAATTCATATGCTGAAGCTCTAAACTCTGCAGCTATGGTATTAAGATAGTCTCAGAAGTGATTAGATAATAAAGGAGGGGCCTTCAGGAGACTTAATGCCCCTATAAAAGAGATCCCTGCTCTTCCCCGAGTGGAATCATGATGACTATGGTTAGGATTAGGGCGAAGGTCAGTGGGAACAAATTTGTTTGCCAGCCTCTCGTACATGAAATATTTATTACATATAAACCACTTGATTTACAATATTGTGTTATAGCAGTCAGAATGACTAAATTCCTTTGATTTTGAATATTAATTTCATTTTAAACTATGGGTATGTGCATGGGTACGTGCACATGAGTTCAGCTGCCCACGGAGGTCAGAAGAGGGCATCAGATCTTGTGGAGCTGGAGTTCCTGTCCAATGTAGTGTTGGGAATCAAACTCTATTCTTCTGTAAGAGCAGTATATATTCTTAATTGCTGAGTTGTGCTTCTAATCCTTAAAACACTTTTGAAATGACATATTCTACAATAAAAAATCCAAAGGTCTAAAAGTTCTTTAACTTTCTTGATTAAAATAGTCTCTAGATAAAAGAGTATCTTGCATCTTACTACAACTTGTCAAGGAAAACAATTTTCCTCAAAATAATGAGATCTCAATTCAGAAAAAACAACTGACAATGTACATAGTTTCCCCAGGCCCCATCTACTTGACCAAGTCAGTACTACTAATAACAGAAGCATATGTTATTACTAAATTACCAAAACACATTTGTATGGTTCCTTTGTCACTATGAGACACCACTGTGCAGATACATATTTCTAAGTCATTAGGTACTGCTGCCACCTTAATCATGCTTTCACACCCAGAATTAAAGTGTTGAATTATCTTTGGATTGCTTATAAAAGGTTTTCCACAATACAGTCATTAAGACAGGATTTTTCTGACTTGAAGAGCTCATTAGAGTCAAAATTTCTGTTAAATTCTTTCAAAATAAAATTATTCTTTGAATTAGCGGGATGCAACTAAGAAGACAGATAATTACTAGAAGTAACAGTGACAAAAAATAAGCTGCATGAAGTCCCTGGAAATAGAAGATGAATGAAAAGAGTTTGTTCATCACAAGAGGACACAACACTGGCTGGAAATGAAATCTAGTCTTCTGCCATGACCCAGGCTGGCCAGCTCTGGAGAGCATGAGAACATCTATATCACAGCTCCTTAGTAGGAGTTAATACTCAGCACACTTTTAACACAGCAGGTGCTAAAGAAAATGTTTCTACATCTGTGGGGCAACTTGACCCTATGAACCATGTATCATTTTATTTCTACTATAAATATGTGAAAGCCAAGATTACCCGAGGTCATGTTACTAGGTCTAAGCAATCTAACTAATGAGCAATAGATAGAAGAAGGATTTTCTCTCTTTTACTAGGATTCTAAAGCTTATGGATTTAAACTTGGGCACACAGAAATTAACAAACTTACAATTTAGGTAAGGCTTACAGCTGTATAAAACATACTTTTGCAGGACAAAAATAAGTTTTTTTTGTGAACTTCGGGGCATAGTGGAGTTGACTGACTCTTTAGGAAAAAAGTATACTTAACATTTAACTAAATCATAAATTTGTTTAGAATTTAGCTGCTTTTAATTGTATAAATTTGATGTTCTCAATTTTCTTCAGCCACATGGTATAGAAAATGGAGGATTAGGTCTGATTATAAATTCTAAGCAATTGTCTGGTTTAAACCCCAGGTCTACAAGGTTCTAGACAGCTGATCAGAGCAAGCTGTTTAATCTCTTTATCATCATGTCCCTCTTCTGTAAAGGGCCATAATAGCACCCATTGCCCAGCTTATTGTGAAGACTAAGTATATGAAGCCCTTAGTAGGTGGTTTATTGTAACTGTAGAACATGTAAACTTTTATCGGTGTTCTATAGATAAATATCCACAATCCTTGATTAGACAAACACTGCTCTCAGTTAGTTCCTCTGCCCATTTCAAAGAAATCTAGGATCCACAGTAGGCATTAAAAAAAGTTTGCAATGAAACAAGCACCCTAAGACTTACCTGCCATGATTAATGTGTGGGTACAAATTTCAGAATTACTACTATTCAAAGTCTCACTTTAATAATGATTCACTCTCAATGTTATTATATAAGGATAAAACATTATTAGGGAATATATTAAAGGCTTGGTGTTCTTCATGAATATATCACAGTTTCAAGGAACTTACTGAAGATAAAGGTCACAAATTAGACAGCTATACAAATCCATGATGCTAACAAATGTTTCCCACACATTAATAAAATGATCAAGTTGTTCACCTCTTAACCACACAGCATGGAGGGGAATCTCAAGGAACTGTGATTTAGGAATATTTTGTTGACTTCATGACCCAAGTCTTACAAATGTGTTTTTATCCAAACTTTTAGCAATTGCACCATTTCCTATGTTCCTTTACTCATCCCAGTTAGAGTGCTGACTTATTCCAAGTTTCCTCACACCTCACCTAAGCAAGTTAGGAAAAAGTAAAGTTTTACCATTGGTTTTCAAAATTACACTTTGATAACAAAAATCCAAGGGAAA